ACTCTCCAACCAAGTCGACTCGCTCGCTCCACTGCACCATGCCCTGTCACTCGAGATCACAAGCCTAAGGCCCAGGCGTTAGTGGTGGACACGCACACAAAAGAACGAAACTGTACGCAACAGCAACGGGTTCAGAGTCGCTATTCGCATCGTCGTCGTCGTCGTCTCATTGTTTGAGTGGCATCAGTGTATGGTGGATCATGGTAGTGACTGTGCAGGTGTTTTGTTCTTAGGTTTCTGCAGATTCACGATGGAGGTTGTGAGGGTTTCAGAGTGGTGTGATGAAAAAACGAACGACGTCGTGCCTTATCATAACACATCTAGTATTATAAAAGGTCATTTCACACCATCACAGCTGTTTTACATAATAATTTACCAAACACTATCACACTGTTTTTTTTTTCCAAAAACACTTTTACAGAAAAATTTATCAAACACTCTGCTACTTATTTTCACAGCACAGCAAAAGCAGCTTTCTTTTTTAAAGCACAGCAATACCAAACCAGCCCTTAGCCTACTACTAAATGCTCTTTCATGTGGATCTATAAGGTCTCTAACATGCTGTGATTTTTTTGATTTTTTTTTATTGGTTTGGCTCAAAACGACCTCGTTTTGGCCAAGTCATTTAAAAAAAAAAATGTCTTCTCCTGCTATTTTGTAGCATGTGCAGCAGCCATGGCTGCTCTTCTCCTCCACCACAACCCAAACTTGGGTGATCCTTGCAAGTCCTCACAGCCACTTATCTGAACTTTCAGGTAGTCTCAGACCATCCTTGTCCCTTAATAGATCCGCCTCTGCCAACATCTCACATTAGTCAGTATGATCTCAATAATGTACTAACATGACAACAAGCTGAGCCAAATGAAATTACATTATGCAGTGCTTCTGATGTATGAACTGGTCTTATTAATGGACTATTGTTTTGTTAATGTGTTATTTTATGAGGTCTATTTGAATATATTGGGATACTTAAAAATTCCTTATTGTAAACAACGTACAAGTCAGAGCATCTAGACTCTTTAAAACAACATTTGCTATCTATTTTAGCAAACAACCAACTAAATCTTAGGTCGCTCAGTTTATCACGTTATTGACAAATGTAGCCCCTAATAGCCCTTTTTTTGGGGCCGAGCTCCTCAATTGCAAAATTGATTCAAATTCAACAGTTATATTTGAAAACATCCAACGGTAGTTTAATTAAATTAACCAATAAATTAAAGTATAAATTTAAAACTAATAAATTATTGAGGAGTCTATGCTTAACCCATTCGGTTGAAGATGATATATGAATATAGGTTAACATTGTTATTTAAAAATAATTTTTTTACAGGCCTATAATTCTGAATTGGACTACATTCATTCCTTTCAGTTGGAGGTGACACTAGTTTCTTCCCCCTCTGGGGATGTAGTGCTTTGCCTCTGTTGTCCTTGTTCCAAAAATATACCCTCTAACGGTACCAGGAGATCAAATCCTCCAAGATTTGGTTTACATTTTGTTGGTGGGGTGTAAATTATAGAGTAAACAAAACCTATAAGAAAAAATAAAAAGAAAAAAGAAATGAACCATCATTCATATTGAAACAACCTTAATATTTATAACCATTCAAAATAACAAAACCCTGAACCGCACAAAGACAGTATGCAACGAACATCCTAAAAGTCTTTCTTCATATATCGAAACCGAGCAAGAAGGCCGCATACCATTTAACAGTTAGATATGTTGGACAGCATAAATTGAGGACAAAACAAAACCAAAAACAGCAGCATTAAACAGTACTTTCAAAACAGGACAATTAAAAACTGCCTCAAAAAGAGAACCAGAACTAAACGCGCGAGCTCTTCAGAGAAGATCAGCAACATTCGATGGGAGCTCCTCGATCACCACATTGTAAAACCTCTGGATGTCATAGAGCATTCTCTCGTCATCCCTTGTCACAAAGTTTATAGCGACACCCTTTCTCCCAAACCTTCCACTTCGTCCAATACGATGAAGGTAGTTCTCGGGTTGAGTTGGCAAATCATAGTTTATTACGAGAGATACCTGCTGCACATCGATACCACGAGCCAAGAGATCAGTGGTGATGAGAACACGGGATGAGCCAGATCGGAATTCACGCATGATGATGTCACGAGTGTTCTGGTCCATGTCACCGTGGGTGGCGGAGACAGTGTGGTCACGGCTTCTCATCTTGTCAGTAAGCCAGTCCACCTTGCGCCTGGTGTTAACGAAAATGACACTCTGGGTGATGGCCAGGGTCTCATACAGATCACAAAGCGTCTCGAGCTTCCATTCTTCTTTATCGACATTGACATAGAACTGCTTGATACCCTCAAGGGTGAGCTCATCGCGCTTTACCAAGATCCTCACGGGTTTGTTCATAAACTTCCTTGTGATTTCCAGGGCTTCAGGTGGCATGGTAGCAGAAAACACCCCAACCTGAACCTTTGATGGCAGGAGCTGGAAAATGTCGTAGATCTGACCACCAAAACATCATACGTAATTAGGAAAACATTGAAGACAAAACAGTAATAGTGGTCCTAAGAAAGACACCACCTTAATACAAGTAACCAACCTGATCCTTAAAACCACGAGAAAGCATTTCATCAGCCTCATCCAATACAAACATCTTGATGTAATCTGGGCGAAGTGATTGCCTTCTCAACATGTCAAACACACGACCAGGGGTTCCTACAACAACATGAACACCAGCTTGAAGAATGCGCTGATCCTCACGAACACTTGTCCCACCAACACAAGCATGAACCTTTACACCAAGGTAGTCACCAAGTGCTCGCATAACCTTCTCAATCTGCTGTGCCAACTCCCTGGTAGGTGCCAAAACCAAAGCCTGGCACTGGACAACACCATAATCAAGTTGCTGCAAAATCCCCGAGCAAAAGGTTGCTGTTTTCCCGGTTCCGGACTGAGCCTGTTGAATCACATCAAGGCCTTTGCAGAAGGGAACAATTCCCCTTTGCTGAATGGCAGAAGGCTTCTCAAAACCTTCAGAACAAAAACAAAATTATACATCAAGGCTTTTAAAGATGAATATAACTATAAAGAAACATTCTTTAATAAACGCTGCAAAAAGAGAATTCAAAATTCAGAAATTGAACATGAATTCCTACAGCAGTGGGATAAATTAACACAACTACACATAAGAGAAGCATCCTACCAAACAAAAGACAACTAAACAATGAACGCAGCTGTACCTACCATACGCATAAATGCCTCTCAGGAGATTTTCCTGCAATCCCATGGCATCAAAACTTTCAAAAACTTCATCATACGACGTGAAGAAATCTTGCCCATCAGTTGAGAGCCTACAAAGGTTGTCAAAACATTAATGGCGACATCAAATCATAATATGATAAATTATCTTCCCCCAACAAACTTAATCAATAACGTATAAAAATAAATACCAAGCAAGACACTTACAGCTCACTCATCTTAGTATCATACTGTTTTGCATCAAACTGTGATCCCTCGGGTGCAACACCTGCCATGACTGCAGAAAGAATTCCATTTAAAACTTTAAGGATCATAAAATCCCAAAAGAATACAATGTTTTGAAATGGGATAATTTCCGGAGCATACAAATAAAACATGAGACAATTAATATGCACATATTACTCTCTTCACAATATATATGAAAATCAAAGGCTTGCCAGAGATGTGAAAGAACATTATTCAAAATAATATAACAGAAGAGCCAAACTTGTTAACCAAATAAAAAGGCGGGCAATCATTTACTCCTGTTTGAGTCTTCGGAGAAGCGTTTTGAAAAGGGCAGATGCCCGTTTGCTATCCAGAGAATGAACCCTCAAGCAAGCGGACACCTCTTTGCCCCCTCCCCCAATAGTCAAAGAAGTTCCATACCACAATACTTCGAAAAAATGGTAACGCGTAATATAACTCTTTATCTAAACATAGCCAGATATAATTCAGAATTACAGTATCCACTAAATCAACTTTCACACTCAAATTGGGATATTAAAATACAATGATTTCGACGCCAGAACAGGAAAAAAAAACATTAGTGAAAAGCTTTTCATCCCCAACTCCTGAACAACAAAATTTTCTTCACAGAAACAAAACGAGTGACCAAAGATACATCAATAAAAATAAGATAAACTGAAACTTTTTACTAGCGTAACAAAACTATTCACTCGCTGATGGGTCGCTGAGAAAACAGATGAATCCTCAACTTTCATATTCGAATTGGCTCCAAACACGTAAAAAATCCATAAAAAGTTAATATGCTAACATCGTATTTCCCACTACTTTCTCGGGAAACAAACAGACCGCCATTGAAATCCATCCGTCACAAAAACGACACAACTTGAAAACAAATCTAGCAGTTGGATCCAGATCCAATACACGATTAAAACCCACAAGCCAATCACCAAAACGAATAATTCCCCCCAACAAAATCAATCAAATTAACAACTTTTCAACCAGATATATAGATACACAAGAATATGTACAAACATACGAGAGAAATAGAGAGAGAAAGAGAGAGAGACCTGATGATGTTGATGAACGCTGGAGAGAGAGAGAGAGAGAGAAGCAGAAGACAACTGGAGGTTGCTAAAAGAGAGCTAGGGTTTCCCAAACTCCTCGGATCTGCGCCGTGGAGTTTGAAAGTGTGCGAGTGATAAAAAGAGGCTGGGTTTATACTCTCAATCTCTTTTAGGTTTTAGGTTTTGGTCTTTCCCCGCTACAAATTCCGGATATACCCTTGGGCTTCTCCTCGTATCTCCAAGTCCCGGGGCCCGTTTCGTCACTTGCCAAAATTTGTATCCAAGTAGTTAAGGAAAACTTTGCAACTATTTAACCACTGATATTCTTCTTTTCCTTTTTTTTTTTTTTTATCACGAAATTGTTGTTTATTGTGAAATTAATAATCTTGGCAATTTGGTAACCCAAGAAATTCCTCTCTAGCTAAATAGAAAGGAGGAGAATTTAATTTTTTAGACCGAATCAATTTATACCTACATTTTGCTTCTTTATCAGCTTTTTTTATTCAAATTTTAATATTATTAAAGGAAGGGGGAGCAATCAAAATAATTTAGAGGATGGAAAGTTTCAAATCCGTAACTCATGGGTAGAAATAAATATCATATCACCTAAAATATTAGAACACCCTTCACTGACTTGATAGAAAAATAAACTACTCTTTTAGTGTGGGGTCATATGCGGTCCCACACCTCAAATCTTTTGAGTGACCCATAGAAATTCACTCATAATAGAAGCTAGAGGATAGTATTCGTATGACAGTATTCGTGAATGGATGAGCGATTGGGCCACCTATAATTGACAAGAGAGAGAAACGTATATAAGTTTTCCTCACCACTAATAAATGTATAATATCAACCGTCATTTTTTTTAATTAACATGTATATGTGAGCATTTATGCATATTGACGCATTAATATAAATTCCTGTACAGCTGCAATGCACCATTCAAGTGCACCTTTTTTTAAGTTGAAAATCAAGTTACTAAAATATAGGGTAAACTGCTGATTTAGTCCCTAAATTATTACTTAGTGAAAATTAGATTTCTAAATTATTTTTTTCCCAGAAAAATCAATTATTAAACTAATACAAATCAGCCAATAATATCCCTAACATTAGATTCGAAGCTATTCTATTCAATTTTTCATCAATTTAAGCCTCGTGACTTGCATGTGATATACTTAGAGGGTAGATTGGTAGTTTTTCATAGTTTAAGGACCTATTTTTTCGAAAAAAAAATAGTGTATAAAATTAACTTTGTAGGATAAATTAGACATTAGATTCACAAGCTATATGCAACTTTAAGGTCTTATAAGCAAGCAAATTATGACATTATCCTCTAAAATGTGTCATGTGACTTAAGTTCACGAAAAATTGAATAAAATAACTTTCAATATTACATGTATGAAATAAAGTTTTTTGAATTGTTGGGGGCCCACCTTTTTTTAACGGGGCAAACGATTTTGGCTAATGGCCGAACTGGTAGTCAAAGGTAACGGTAAAAAACTGAGCCTTTCGATTTCTAGGCCATTAGTGGTCAACGGTTCATATTAAAAGATGTTTTCTTTTGGGTAAACTTTTGAATTTGACCTCACGGTCCATATTTATTTTTTCAAATCCAATGAAAAAAAAGTATCCAACAACTGAAATTTAAATCTAACGGTCAAAATAAGAAAATAAATTTTTTAAAATATATCTACTTTAAAAAAATCTCAAACTCTATATATACTCATTCATTTGTTAGCTGAGTGGTTGGTTGGTGTGACTTGTTCGGTTTTTTTTTTTTTTTTTTTTTTGGCGAAATTTAAATATTTTTAGATTAAAACATTCGTAAAATTAAATTGAGATTGTGACAACCCGTTCCAAATTTTACGTTTTTATTTTATTTTAAAAGCGTGAATTTACGAAAATGCCATAGAGGCAAAGATTTTGACTTATGTTGACCATCGTCTAGAGAGACGTATGACTTATTCTTTTAACATATTCTCGTAGTACTCGTTGGTGTGAACGCATAGGCAAAAGCCGTTTACGAGTCCGGATTATAACGGTATAGTTATGGACGTTTGAAAATGATTATTTAAAGTTTAGTTATAAATTATTTGAATTCCCACCTTGTGGGAATAGTGGACCAATTAAATTAAAGGGACAAGGAACCAATTAGAGGAGAGGAGGAAAGTCTTCAGCCAATCAAAAAGAAAGAAGAAAAAAAAAAAAAAAAAAAAAGAAGAAGAAAGCTCCCAGCTTTCCCGTGCATTTTTCCCCTCGCAACCATCCATTTTCCAAGGCCTATTCCAGCCAACTCCGATGGATTTTTTCTTCGACGCCACCACCACCATCTTGAAGCTCTCATTCCCCTCTACCAAACCCACCCAAGAACCACCTTGATTAACCACGGTATGTGGCGGTTTGAGGCCACGAAAGTTGACGATTCTCACAGTGCTCCAGGCACCCTTTTTGATTTTCTGGCAAATCGGCAAAGTGATGGCTGATGCCACCACTTGGGCTTTGTAGCCCATCATCCCAGGAGCAAAACCCAACCAACCTTGACCCCGTTGGACCACCGTAGACGACGAATCAACATTGGGAAGTTTTAGGCACCAACCGGCTTTGTGGGCAAAATTGACCATCTTCCGTCCACTTTTGGACTTCGTGGCAGGCACCAATCATTCAGGACGCCTCGATGCGTGCGCTAGAGAATCATAGCATGGACTCCAGGTGAGTGGACATTTTCCTTTTATCGTACATATTATTGATAGTTCCATCGACACTTTTAAATTGATTAGGTATATTACCTTCATATAATTATTGTGAATGCTTGAAGTACTAATATGAACTACGAATGGCTTGATCCCTGTTTAGGGTACGTAGGCAGTCTAACGAGACGTTAGATGCAGCCATAATATATTTGAGACAAAAACCTTATTTGGGAAATTGAGTAATGCGAAGGAAATTGATAAAGGCAAGTTTTAGTTTTGTAAATTAGTTAGTTAAATTAGTGTTAATTGGGTTGTCATGGATAATTATCCCTGAAAATAAGTAGTTCAGGAGTAGGGCATTATTGGTTGTACATTTCACACCGTATTGTATATAATTGAAAATGCTACGACATGGTTAAGTATTAGATTGCATCATGGTATATCCATATGTATATTACTTGCACATAATTATTGGGAATGCTTTCAAGTGCAAAGGTGAACGCAGGACACCTAGGTAAGTTCAGGTGAGTTTATGGTATTAGTTGAATTGATGAAGTTATAGCATGACTACATTTATGTGTTAGGCAACTCTGATACTATCGTACTGGTTGCCATGAGTTGTACATGTTATATTGAGATGCATTGAGAGCTCATAAACCTGCACCCCGGTGTTAGTGCTCCCGCCCGTGGCCAGGGCACAGTCATTCATGTGATGTTCACCTCTCGCACCATACGTTCACCTTGGACTCAAGGTAGGTGCACAGGCTTGTCGTACATACCACTATAGGTGGTTCCGACTCGTAGGTGACCCGCGATTATTCGCCTAATCTTCACGTGATCGTAGCACTTGAGCGTACTTATTTACACCCAGTCTTGTCGTACAGACCACTAAAGGTGGTTCCAACTCGTGTGCAGGGATGTTTGATGAGCTATAGATTAAGTCATACAGGTCACTATAGGTGACTCCCGACTTGTATGTTAGTATTGATTAATGAGATATGGATACCTGCACCCCGGTGTTAGTGCTCCCGCCCGTGGCCAGGGCACAGTCCTTCACGTGATGTTCACCTCCCGCACCTTACGCTCACCTTGGACTCAAGGTAGGTGCACAAGCCTGTCATACAAACCACTATAGGTGGTTCCGACTCGTAGGTGACCCGCGATTATTCGCCCAGTCTTCACGTGATCGTAGCACTTAAGTGTACTTATTTATACCCAATCCTGTCATACAGACCACTAGAGGTGGTTTCGACTCGTGTGCAGGGATACTTGATGAGATATGGATAAGTCATACAGGTCACAAGAGATGACTCCCAACTTATATGCTTGCATTGATTGATGAGATATGAGTACAGTCATATGGATCACGTTAGGTGATTCCGGCTGATGTATCATTTTATATTGATTAATTTCATTTGGCCTACTTATTAATGCATTGTAGAGTCTATGGACACGGCATACCCATGGTTTTGGCCATTTCATTAGCATGGGTGGATATATAGATATATATATATATATATATATATATGTGTGTGTGTGTAGTACTGTCCTATAAAAAACGATAAGGGAATTACAGTGAGGGGTTACTACTGTTAGAAAGGTAATAGTTTTGGGAAACTTGGTTTTACTGCTTACTCATACTTTCTGTTTTGTACCCCCTTCAGGTTTTAACTGCTGAGTTCGTATCGACGAGGATGTATGGCTAATCTTAGTATTGGTGGCTACTTTTAAGGGTATGATTCTTACCCACAATACTGTATTATACTTATACTCTGGCATCGCATGTGAAATGGGTTCGCTCCCACTCGTAGCGCACTCTGGTATTTAGACACTTTTAGGTTCAAATTTATTCACATTTTATACACTATCACACTTTATGACTTTGTCACCTTCTAAGTGTTGGCCAACACAGCTCGATTTGGGGTCCTAGTGGACATTCCGAGTCGGGGTGTGTCAAAGATAACTTAACTCAAAGTTACAAAAAATATCCTTACAAAAAAAATTAGGGTTAAAACCATCCCACAACAATTAATACATTTTAGGCCCAACCTAAATTATGTCTTTTAGTGGACCTAAATATTTGGGTTTGAGTTGGTTTAAGGAGAGAGATCCAAACGAACAAAATATCGCAATGTATGAACTGGCCTTTGTGGACCATACGTGCAGACCAACGCAAATTGTTGGATCTGATTTCAACGACTAAGAACAAATTAATCAAAGCAAACTTACTGGGTCTTTCCTCTCTCTCTTTGTTCCCCATCTCTTTCTCTTTCCTTTCTCTCTTTACTTCTCTCATTCTTTTCTTAATCCCTATCTTGCAAATAGATCACAAACCACCATCAGCCTTGCTTCATCGTTGTTGTCACGTCACAAACCACCACAACAGTCTGACTACCTCCAATCCAACTTCCTTGGCTATGGCTCCCATGGCCATAAGAGTCGCTAGGCCAGAGATGTCGCAGGGTCTTCCCGACTCCTGTCATCAGCTTTTTGTTGGAAATGTGTCCAAAAGTCAATCATGTGATGATACTTCACGAACATTTCGCATATTAAACTAAACTAGTTTAATCTAAGGACAAAGGTTATTGTTTAAAATCATCTCATAAATGTTATACGCTTAAACAATAAGTTGAAGGAATATATAGTAAAGGGACTGTGATCTAAAGAAGTTAGATACAGTTCTCTTTCATACACATATCCTAAATGTATTTTTTTTTTTTTTTGACAAACGACATTATCTATATTAAGGGGAGGGGAATGAGCTTAGCATTTGGCGATAATTGAACCTAAAACATCTTACTTACAAGTGAAGATGAATACCACTAGACCATAGTACTAAATGGCAGACCAAATTATGTTGGAAAGTGAAATTAGTGGCGACAATTGAGATTATATGCCAAGTGAAACTTGGCTCAAACTATAGAGATTAAACTATAACATTATATGGAAAGTTAGTCCCTAAATGTGAGAAATAGAATATTCAAACCACTCCAAAGATCGGTCAAATGAGCAATGGGTTTTGGCTCTTTGGAGCTACGTAAGGTTTAAACATGAACAACTTAAAACAAATGGGTCACCAGTGCTTTTAATTGTTTATTTTAATGTGTTGGCCGTTGGGATTATTCTAAATGTTTGGTTCTGCTTGGAATGCGTCAACTTTGATTATCTATTTAAAAAAATTACTAATAAAAATGTACCTAAAGAAAATTCAAAATTGATCATTTAAGTTGTTGGAATTAAATTTGCGCACTGTGGGACATGGAAATACACAAATCCAAGTAATTTGTAAAGAATAAACAACCATGAGCTAGCCGAAGATGAAGGGGGTGTACCATCAAAGGCTTTCCGATGGTGATGTGATAAAAGATAGCACTCAAATTAAACCCTCTTTTTGACAATTGTAGTATAGATATAAGTAAGGATCGTTCTAGGCCGGGGATTAGGAGGGATTGCTAATCTAATGAAAATCGACTCAAAGATGTAAAAATATGCTTTAAAACACTTTAAACAACTCAAAAGATTCTTAACTAAACTTGTATAACTCAAAACAAACTTTAAAGACTCAAAACAACTCAAAACAACCAAAAAGACTCAATTTAGACTCTATGACTCAATTTGGACGAAAATACAATTAGTTTTGACTCAAAAGACTCAAAAAGACACTTTTGGATAGATTTAGAACAAGTAAGAAAAGGGGATTTGATTTTGGACGAATTTAAAAGAAAACAAGTAAAGTAAACCTTTAAAACAGATTTTGGACGAATTTTAAGAAAAACCAATGGATGATGGAATAGCCAAGGGATACTTCTCCACACATGATACATTCAAACATAAATTGATTTCCAGTTGCTTTTTCGATAAACCATGAACCTCAACACCCCAAATTAACCGTGACATCACTAATTAACCGTGACATCACTAATTAACCCTCAAATTTTCCTTAAGTTAGTGGATTGGATGACATCATACGACAACCCAAAGCATTCTTCAAAAGTCCCCTACATGACATCATAATAGAGATACAATCAAAGATCATTACGTTCAATGGAAATCATAAGTATTGACAAAGCACTTGTAACTATGACATCATGATACTCATGCTAGGAATTTACTTAACATGATTGTGAAAACAACCTTAACTACTTGTGAATATAAGGTTGAAATGATTATGTGAAACTCCCTTATATTCTAGCACCAAATTCAAGCATGCAAATTAAGTAGGCCTCCCTAATCGACATATAAGAATAAGTTATCCATCAAACGGTTAAGTAAATTGCATTCACAATTTATGAAATCACAACTAGAATTTATCAACTCATATTATAAATGTAATCATGGTTTTAAAGCATCCCTAGGCTAAAACGAGTTTAGCCTCTCATGTTCATAACAAAACAAAGGAAAATAGAATTAAACATTGAAAACAAAAGATAGATTACACCTAAAAACGTTCCACACTCCAACTCGAATGCACAAACGTCCAAAGCTTCGTCTTCCTTCTCCTCTTCCTTGCTAAGTCACGGCACAAGGTCTAGGGTGGTTGTGTGGATGATTTTCTGGTTTTTGGATGGATTTAGGAAGGTAGGGTGGTGCGGCAAGGGTTGATGGTGGTGTATGGAGGCTTGGATGAAGGTTTGGAAGTAAGGGAATGGTGGAAATTTGGATGAAAAGCTGCGGCAAAGGATGTGATTTTCTGTGAATGGAGGCAGGTTGTATATGAGAGTGATTAGGGTCAATAAGGGTGCGGCAAGAATCCTAAGGCTTTATTACTTAGTTTAGGAAAGGAATTAACTCCAAATCCTTCAAGAATAGGAAACACAAAATCAGAAATTGAAGGGAATGGGAAGTGACTTGCGGCAAAGGTTTGTAAGAAAATGAATGCTCTTTATTTCTGAAGTTAGGCAAGAATTTTGGAATAGAAAAGGGTATGTGAGTTATGGCTGAGTTTGATATGAAAAAGGAATGTGTTTGAATGCTTTAAAATAGGAAACAAGGTCCAAGGAATGCAAGGAAGGGAAACACCAAGGGGGGTCACAACAAGGATTTTAGGTTGCAAGGGAACTTTGTTTTGTGACCTAGAATAGGTAGAAGTCCTTGATATTGCTGAAACATAGAGTCTTTAAGGATTAGGAAAGATTAAACCAAAATAGGAAACCTTGGCTTAACTTTCCTACTTCAAGTAGGAAACCTTCTTTGACTAGGATTCCTCATTTGATTAGGAATCCTCTTGTGATTAGGAATCCTCTTGTGATTAGGAATCCTAACTCATTTAGGTCTTCAAATTCGTCCATTCCTTTTGCTCCAAGTATAAGCTATCCATCCCAAGTCCAATTTTGCTTCAAAATGCTCCAAAATGCACATTTTTGCTTCCTTAGCCATGGGAACTTAAAAACACACGAAAATGGCTTAAACTACTAAAACAACTATGAACTAACAACATAAATGCACGAAAACAAGCCAACTAAGTCGCCTAAATATGCTCATATCAAATGGTCAAGTTAATAAGCAACTAGCATATGGGCACACACAAAGTGTGTGAGAAATTTTTTTTTGTTTTGTTTTTGAAATAGAAGGAGAGAGGAAGAGAGTGATAGAGAAGGTGAGAGTGGGAAGTTTGTTTTGTTTTGTTTTGTTTTGTTTTTTTTTTATATGTTAGGATTACATGTATGTGAGGTTTTGAAGAAAAAAAAAGAAGCTAAATTTGGTTGTGTGAAATTACATTTCTGCCTCATATTTCTTATTCATGTTATGTTTTAATTAGAGGGTTAAACTGATAATTTCATAGGATTTTGGTTGATAATAAGTGTTTTATTAATTAGTAGAGATATAAGACTTAAGCAGTGGGCAAGATAATAAAAATGTGTTGGGGCCAAAAATCTCATGTGCAAACCCAATCGCACCTCAAAGCCTGATTGCCATAAAAATACCTCGAGTCAAGCTTAAATACATGCAAAGTTGCAAAATCAAGAAGGAAAAATATTTACAATCACGCAATGTTAATAAAATAATAATTTATGGGTTGAACTTTGTATAATTGCCCAAATTCCATGCAAGTCCATGCACATTTGTCACGCCAACGACTGTGAAAAATTAGAAACAAGTCCCTCACCCTATTTCATATGTGAAAAGGAAAAATAAACGAAAAACTCAAGACGAGAGAAGGGGGAGTGAACGATCGAGAAAGAGATGTAGAAAGGAAGAGGATGTGGATGAGAGGCACGATAGGTGAAAAAGACAGAAGGTTTTACGCAAGAATTTGTTTTAATTTAGTTACTTTGCAAAATTATTGGTTTTTTGATGTAACAACAATTATTTAAGTTGACAGTTTAATCTACTATAAGATTAATTTGATAACTCGTATAAAAGAGGAGCTTACAGTCTTCAAAATAAAGACTTTATAAGGGCGGTTTTGGATCTGAAAAATATCACTAGACTAGAATAGAGTGATTCAAACACTAAACAAAGGTTCCGTGCGTATTTTTTTTCTATTCTTTTTCATTTTCCATTTTGGCCGCAACAAAATAGAATTCATTTGGGGCATAATATTCAGTTATTCACACAAAATAACCCTATATTTATATTTATATTTATATTTACATTGCAAGGCCAGTGCGATCTGTTTCGATCATTTGTATTTATATTTATATTTACACAATTTATAAATATTTATGTTTATAGTTATTCACACAAAACACAAAATAACCCTATATTTATATTTACACAATTTGCAAAGCCAGCGCGATCTGTTTCGATCATTGAACCCTAAACTCCACCGGTTCCTCTGCCATTCCCACTGATTTCTTGGATACTGTTTGTTTCATCAGTTTGATACCGGACAAAAATGACTTACGCATCTCGTATCATCCACCACTCCAAAAAGGTGCGCCTCAATTTTCACCATTTCTCCCTTCTCTCGTGAACTTAGTGCTATTTTTTGCTCTTTTTTGTGTGTTAATTGTCAGAAGTTTGTTTAGGCATTGATATTCTGGGTTTAGAGCTTGTTTGGTTAATGGGATTGTGGCCAAGCACTTGTTTTTACTGTTTAAATTCCACAAATCTTGAATCTCGGCCTTGTTTGGTATTGAATTTACCGCCGTTAATTCGCTTGAATATTTGTAGTCACCAACTGGGGTAGTGATTGGATGAATCTGTTTATACTTCACCATGCTATTTCTTTCTTTTTCGGGTTACTCGAAGTTCGGTAGCAAGTAGGAAATGTAATTTAATTTATTTTCTTATGAGCTTCTGTTTGATTGTTGAAGCTAGGTGTGTGCATATAAATGGAGGTAGTGTAAATTCCAGAATTAATTCTCAATTGGGTAATTTAGGATTACTATGTCCAGGGTGTTTTTAATTTGAATTTCACTAGTTTTGAAATTGTAGGCAGAGCATCATGCTTTTGTAAATTCTAGTTTTTCACTGTATATTGTCGACATAAGTTTTTGACTTTGGCTTAAAAGTTACCATGAGCCCATGACCTGTAAAATCTAGTTTTTCGCTGTGTATTGTCAACATAAGTTTTTGAATTTGGCTTAAAAGTTACCATGAGCCGATGACCAAATGTTGATTGCAAGCTTACGTTGCCCAGATAACATAGGCAATTATATAAATATGCTCTTGTCTTTTGTTTTGTTTTTCTATTCTTTTTGGTACTTTATATCATTGATTTAGGTATATTTCAAGCATTAATCTATGAAGCTGATGGTTTCTATGTTATCACGACGTTTCTTTACATATAATTTTGTACTATATTTGTGTTCACTGCAGTTACGGAATGCTCCCAACTTACTACGGCAAGAGCAAGCACTCTTGGTTCGTTGGTTTTCACATGATGTTCAACCCTCTAGTGGTAAATTAAATGGAATGCCTTTTTTGTGTTGTGTGTGTGTGTGTGTGTGTGTGTGTGTGTGAAGAACTATTTTTTCCTTTCCATCTGTTATGCTAATGTTGCATATCATTGAAACAGAAGTTGCTATTCCAGATAAATTATGCTAGTTAATCCAATTGATGATGTCTATATGTTTTTTCATGAATATGTCTTTCGGACCTGATGATTTGATATTAGAGGATTAAATACAGTCATGTTGTAAATATGAGATTGAAACTGGTCTTTTGTTATCTATTTATATTGGTTTTCCGTGTGAAATTGAAAACTGGTTGACCTGATGACTTGACTCCTTGTACTTAACATATATGTGTGTATTCATTTGGACAATACTATGTTCAATTATTTTCAATTACATTTCCTTATCATGCTTCACATGCTAACATATGCTCGTACATATATATGTATCAGGACATGAATTAAAAAATTTGATGAGTTAACTATGACTGTTCTTACGCTGGAGTCCAGGGTTTTCGTAGTACTGATTTTGTTAAAGGTATCTTGTTGTACAATGTGTGACACAAGATCTGTGGCATCAGTTGAATGCAACAAGACACTTGGGTTTTTAATTATGCAGTTAAGTGCTTCTGAAAATTTGTTTAGCTGATTTAACAATCAATTCTTGTTTCAGATATATTGAAGGTTCATCGCCACAGTTATGTGCCTTCAGAAAGAGCAAGTGTTTCTAGGTCTTTCAGCAGTAGCACTGTAAGTTAAACTGATTTTTATCATGTTAATAGGAGAAATATTATAAAATGTCCCACCTTTGGAGTATTTCTGTTCAAAGTTTTAGTGGTCTTTCTTTGCTTCTTCCTTTTTTTTTTTAATATCTTGTCACACGCTTTTAAAGGAATTGTCACTAGTGAACTTTGTATCAATTATAGCGCTGTCGCCTGTCATGTTTTGCAGAAATCAGTGTCAGGTACATATACCAGGGATATCCCAATGACAAGGAAACTAGGAAGTTCAATTTCTGGATTGGTATTCAACAAACAGCTTTCATGGTATGCTGTGCTAGATTTTGTTACTTTGTTTGTGTGTATGTGTGTACAACTCTTGTTTGATACATCTATTTTTCCCTATATCAGTATTCAGGCGCAGTTGAGCAGAGGCTTGTCATCTGATGCAGGTATGCCTCTTGGTGTTTTGCATCTCGATAATTTCTTTTTGTATTTTTATGTCCTTGAGTGCACATTGGCTTAGGCTAGTATGATGATGGACTTCATGTTGCTATAAGAGCTTGCTTCAATGATACAAGTTTACAGCATAGAACTATAACAAGTTGACTATTGGTTCATAGATTTCTCAAACTCATCCGTGCTAGAAATTGAAAGTGTAATATTGTGATCAATCACTGTGGCCTTGTAGTTTCTATTTTTTTTCATTTCATAACTCTATTTGGATATTTTTACGGTTGAGGGTGGGTACTAGTCATTAATCTCCTAAGAATGATTTCTGTATTATATTTTTGTGATCCCTGCTGCTTTAATTCATAGAGAAATAGTTTTCTTAATGTGATACTATGATTTATTGTGAATATATTATTTCACTAGTTTTGGGCATTGAAGTGATTTGCATCCCTTTTTGAAGTGTGATCTTCTTTATTTTGAACTCTTCCGTTGATTTGGTAATCCTCAAACATGTTATTTAGAGTTATATGATCATCTAACTTGTCAAGAATCATGTCCACTTCAGGCCTCCCTCCACACCAAGAAATTGGGATGCCTTCTCTTTCACCCACTATGTCTGAGGTATGTACTGTTTCAAAGCTTATTGGATTATCATACCTTTGAAAATTTACTGCTCCATTCTAAGTCATCATTTTTTTTTTATTTGTAGGGTAATATTGCTAGGTGGCTGAAGAAAGAGGGTGATAAAGTTTCTCCTGGTGAAGTTCTCTGTGAAGTTGAAACTGTAAGTTTTCTGTACTTTACATCCACTTACCTGTTAGCTCTGTTGAATGAGTAAAATGAACTTCTGTTATTGTTACGTGCTTCTTTTTATGATGGAAGCCTGACATGTACCTCATCCAATGACCTGTTAAGGATAAAGCTACAGTGGAGATGGAATGCATGGAAGATGGTTATCTTGCCAAGATTCTACGACCAGATGGCACCCAAGGGATCAAAGTTGGAGAGGTATTGATTCTAGTTAACTGTTATGGGGCTTGGGTAGATTTATAATTCACCTTTCCTTTGCTTGTGGTTGGTGGTGTTGGACTGATTAATAACGCGGATAAATTAGATTGAATAGAAAGAAACATCTTGATATAATATGAGTACTTGCTAATGGTTTTGGCACATAGGTGATTGCAATAACTGTTGAAGAGGAGGATGATATTGCAAAATTTAAAGATTATACACCATCGGCATCTGGTGCCGGTGCTCCTGCAGCTAAAGAGGCTTCTGAGCCTACCCCACCCAAAAAAGAGGTGGTTGCAGAACCAGTTCCAGAGCCAAAGGTTTCAAAGCCCAGTGCAGCTCCTGCTGCTACCCCTTCTGGAGATCGCATATTTGCAAGTCCTTTGGCAAGAAGTTTGGCTGAAGAGCACAAGGTATGCCATGCAGAATTCTATGGCTGAATTATTATCATTTGATGGTAGAAAACACTTACCATCATGCGCCATTTCTGACTTCTGTGTTTTCTAGGTTCCCCTCTCAAGTATCAAAGGAACAGGTCCTGATGGAAGCATTGTGAAGGCTGATGTTGAAGAGTATTTGGGTATCAATCTCATTACCCAAAACTCGTGTTAATACTTTTGTTATTCTTTGCTATGTTATTATTTATTTTTTTTGTTGATTTCGTCTTGGACCTTTGTCTACCATTTTTCTTCTGGTAAAAAAGGCCAATCCAGCTGATGGTCAGAAATTGTGTTTGATCTTTTGCTTTTGTTTTCTCATGATTATGTAGCTTCTCATGGGAAGGAAGCTCCTAAAGCTAAGGGTGCAGCACCTGCAGCATTAGATTATACCGATATCCCCCATTCTCAGATACGGAAGGTAATATTAGAAGTAATGATTGTACGTGTTTTATGTCATAATTAATTGAGAGGTGCAATGTAAATTTTTTCCAAGTAATATCTAGGCTGATATCTTCTGTTTGTTTTGTGTTAGAGAGATTTGCATTTGTAAATTATATCAATTCAGTCCTCACTACTTGCTTATTTCTTTGGTGCACCTGAAGTACTGTCTCTGAAAATTTTAAATACGTTTATTTGGTTTGGTTCACGTACGCTTTTCAAGTACTTTTCATCAATTAATTGTTTAATCTCTGTTGTGAACTTTACTTTATTCTTTCTAAAGCTATATCTGGTATGATTTTTGCAGATCACAGCTTCAAGATTATTATTCTCAAAGCAAACAATTCCTCATTATTATTTGATGGTAGATACATGCGTCGATAGACTCATGGAGTGAGTATAAGTTTCTTAAACATTTTAAAATTGAACTAACTGCATAACTTTGGATATGTTTAACTCTTGTTTATCTGCAGTTTGAGAGGCCAACTCAATGCGTTACAAGAGGCATCAGGTGGGAAGCGGATATCTGTTAATGATCTCGTAATTAAGGTACAAGATTCTTCCTTCACTGAAATTTTTGAGCGGCCAATTATGGTACAAATTTCCCCCCAATGGTAAGACCATTGGAAGTTATGAGGTGCTTAAGTGCAGAATGGGATAGCGGGTTCTTTTGATCTCTAGAGTTATGAGATGAAATCTCACGATTATCAGAATGACTTTTAGTCTATCATAAAAGGTGCCTCGAGGGGGAGACTGTATTCTAGAGATAACTAGAACCTTGTTAAGTTATGAGAGTTCTTGTAAGAGAAAATAAAAATCAAGTATACTGGAGGTATATGGTACCTTTCCGACTGTATATTCACTCCAATGTAACTATTATCGCAGGCTGCTGCTTTGGCTCTTCAAAAGGTTCCTCAATGCAATAGTTCATGGACAGATGACTACATCCGCCAGTGAGTTTAGATACAAACATTTATAATTAGGTTTCCATATTCCACCTGAAGTAAGTTGTAACATTCCTTTACGGTTTCTATTCTCAGGTTTCACAACGTGAACATTAATGTTGCTGTGCAGACAGAAAATGGACTGTTTGTACCCGTCATTAGGGTGAGTGATTGGCTTGGTCCTATATTGTTGAATCACTTAGTTATAACAGCAATTTGCCTGAATCTACATTGTTAAATTCGTAGGACGCGAACAAGAAGGGACTATCCAGCATAGCCGAGGAGGTCAGGCAGCTGGCCCAAAAAGCCAAAGAAAACAGCTTAAAGCCAGAAGATTACGAGGTTGATAAAATTTTTGTCCTTTATTGTCACCACTGCAGGTATATGATAGCCTTGTGGTCTTAACCAAAATTTGGTTTATTCTTTTTGCAGGGAGGCACATTTACGGTGACAAATTTGGGAGGTCCATTCGGCATCAAACAATTTTGTGCCATTATTAACCCTCCTCAATCAGGCATTCTTGCAGTTGGATCAGGTAAGATTGGGACTTCAATCATGTTTCTTTGGACCAAAGTTGTCCTTATGCTTATTCTGTGTTTTTTTTTTCTGAGCAGCCGAGAAGAGGGTTGTACCTAGTTCCGGGCCCGAACTATACAAGTTTGCTTCCTACATGTCGGTAACGCTAAGCTGTGATCATCGTGTTATCGATGGTATGTCCATCTCAAATTTCTGTTTGGAATTGAAAATCTGAATCGTTAAAGACAAAATAACAGCGCAAATTTCTCTTGTATAGGTGCAATTGGTGCGGAATGGCTAAGGGCATTCAAAGGCTACGTTGAGAATCCTGAGTCAATGTTACTCTAAGCAGACGGTTTTCGATCTTGGCCTCAAATAATTTTGTTTTCTTTCCCCTGTGTGATTTGTCAAGACAAGGGGCTTGAATGATAATACCCCAGCTGTTCTTCCCAATCATCGACTCGGGCTTTTGGCATAGCTTTTGAAATAAAAGGGGTTGATAATTTCAGGCATCGGATTTCGGATGAAATTTTTCCCGTTGAGTGTATGTAACTAATAAGAAGTTTGACTCTAACCCCTAAATCTTGTTTTTTCTCAGACTATTGTCAATATTTGCAAGTTTTAGGTGTGGTTTTGTTCTTACCGATGGCATGAAAAAACTCTGCATCTTTTCGCGAGCTACGATAAGGCAGTCGCAAATGTACCTCAACTCTCAAACAGGTGAAGAAAAATGGACGGCACCCACGTCCAATACAATGCAAAAGCACGACACAAATCTATATGGAGGGAACACCACAAGCATATGACAATTCCAGCATCATCGCTTTAGCAATTGTGTTGGAGTTTATCAAACTAGTTCATAAAAATCTGTTACTATGAACCAATTTGACAAAGACTGGCATGCATTTCATAATTTGTAGACCAAACTCAATTTCTGTCTCTGTTTCAATTTCTATAAGTATGCTATCCGCCATCACCGAAAGACCATACAAAACATTACATTCCCAATCAAATTATATTAACTTCCTAAACATCCTCAAAATATGGGTGCCCTACATCACTCATCAAGTATTACTCAAATCGATATTCAGCGCAACAGCATTTCTACCCTAACAGAACATTCTACAATGCAAAAATGCCAATGACTGCAATCGTAGCACGCACCCTCTCTCACTTAAGCATCAGTTTCCGCATGAAAGAAAGAAGTATCGAACAATCATCAAACAAACGATAACCAACCTCTTAAAAACCCCATTCGTAATGTGTTGTCAACCCACATATCCCTTGACAATGTTAAAGTCACAAGTCAACAGGCTTGCAATGAAACAGAGAAGGAACTAACTCTTGATACGATAGATAACAACATCAAATGAAAACAAGTCCACGACACCAACAGCCACAGAAAAGAAGATCACCAACAAGCATTGCACATGACATGTTTAAACTATTAAAGACCGCAAATTTAAAGAATTACTGATATACAATGAATACCCACGAGTCTAAATGCATCCCAATTATTCGTTATGAGGACAAGTCGACGAATTACGGTAGAATTCTTAACGAAAACTCCGGTGCTCACCTACTTGTTATTCAATAATCAATTCCATTTAAAATTACCAAACACAGCAACACCATCTTCATCATGCATTGCCCAAATATTTTCTGTTTATCATCGTCTGCGATTCCTAATGGGACTATCAAAATTGCCGAAAACTAACCAAACTGAAGGAAAAAAAAATAAGCCAACAATACCACCACTCACATCAAAAGCAACCTGCCATGATTATATCGGCACGTATCGCTTGGCAGCCTGCCTTGCCGCGACGGCAACGCCAACAAGGACTCCTCCTACGGCTCCGGCCACCGCAGCCGACCTCACGCCCTTTGCAGCTCGGTAAATCGCTCCAGTGCCCAGTCCCGCCGCAACGCTATTCCAAACATCGTCGGTATCTCTGACCGCTTGAATCCCACTCTCCATACCAGCATAGATCAACCCGATCACGCCCAGCCGGTTTCCCCAAACACGACCCGTGTGGCCAGAGGAGTTGAGAACCCTATTGATCCTGAGCTTGGTAGTGTCTCCAGATTCGAACGATCGAACGCCGGAAACCAGACCGGCGCCGCCGCCTCCAATAGCGCCGCCGAGGTAGGAGCAGCCGGTGTAGAAGGTGAGATTCTCGCCCCAGGAGCGACGCTGACGTTTAGCCTCTTCGACGAAGAGGAACTCCGGAGAGGTAGGTAGCTGGTAGAGGTTTCGCATGGGGACCTGGAGGTCCTGGTAGGGGTTGTAGAGGCGGGCCTTGGACGAGTCAGAGTTGGGGTCGTGATCGGAAGGGGACATGTGATGCGCCATGGCGCAGAGAGAGAGAGAGATTGGGAAGAGGAGGAGGAATTTAGGGTTGGGCGGCGGTTAGGGTTTGGTAGTAGCCTTCGCGGGGGGTGAGAGAGAGAGGACCTTTGACGCGTTGGCCAAATTAAACCGAAAAAAAAAATAAAAAAAAAAAAAGGAGAAAGAAAGAATCAACGAGGTCGGTCGTGTGGTGGCTTCTGGTGAAAACTGGAATAAGAAGAAAAAGATGTGTGATTATATATACTCGGAAAATTCTATATATACTAAAACTCAAACTCGGATGGTACTGTTTTAGAGCAGTAAAATGGCGAAAATGCCCTCTAAAAAAATTCTTTCTTAATCTACCAGCTTCTCTACAGTAAAAATTCGGTTGTGCCCTTTGTGTCCACGCGTCTGCCATCGCCTGTTTTCTTCGTGCGTCGAGTGGCTTTGCTCACCGTTTTCCTTTTAGGCTACCCACGTGTCGATCATCGTCGAAGGCTCGGCTTCCAATTCTTCTCGACATTTCCTTCCGTTTCCACTTCTCTCTCTCACTCCGCAGTCTTCTCTCCTCTCATCTATCACTCTTCCTCTGACTCTCCTTCCCTACTGAAAGAACCATGATCTTTCATGTTCCCCTCTTCTATTCATTCGGGTAATTTTCGAGTACACTTTTCCATTTGCTTCCCACACCAATCTCACCCTGAAACCAACAAATCCCAAAAACCCTCAAGCCATCCAACAAATTGAAAAAACACCATCTTTGCTTAAAATTTTGAATTTTTCTAGGAAATTCTCGCCTATCCCTGAAATTTTCTTGGTGGGTTTCGTTCTCAGGTCCCGTATGTAAAAGGGTTTTGGCTTTGGTAGCAGATGAAGATCGGTGACAATGATCGGAGTTCGTCGCCGTGTGGGTGATCCCAGTGGCACTGGTTTTCAATTCTGGTGATTTCTATGGTTTTGTGTTGCGTAATATTTGGGGATTTGGTTTGGGTCTGTGGGTAAACAATACTCAGGTTAAATTTGGTTCCCTTTAATTTCCCAAATTTGTTTCACAGCATGATTTTTTTATCCTTTACTTGATAGTTCTTAAGAAATGTTAGAATTTATTTTTTTATATTTCATTTTCAAGCCTTGAATTTGTTTTTAATTTCTCTGTTAATAAATAAGTTTGAGGATGAAATTTATTCTTTCTTAACATTATTTGACTGCAAATTCTAGGTTCCAACCCCCAGTAACGCAACATGCTCGATTCCAATTCTTAATTAAGGGGGATGATGCAAAACCCAGAATTTCTTCGTAAGTTGACTTCTGCTTAGACTATACAGGTATATTTATTCTGGGTGCCTAAGGTTTTGAGTTTTGAAGTTTGTGTTTGACTAATTAACCATTGAGATAGCCGTTATATATGACACCACCAAGATTCTCAACTCTTAGTCTTTCATATTTACAATTTGGTTTGTGGTCTTTGGACATCTCTGCTGCTCTACCCATTACCAAGCACAGCTCGACAATCCCCAGCATTAGCAACTATAAAAATTACAAAGTATGTAAGACTAAGACATGAAACCTAATTAAGATTCACAACTTCTACATGCAAAGTATTTAGAAAGAAATTCCATACAAACTCAATGATCATCAATCAATTTCTTTCTTTCTTTCTTTCATAATTTAACTTTTGCTTCTTATTACCTTTGTTTTTTCTTTTCTATCTTGCAGATACTCTTTACTTTGCAGCAATCACTTCTGTCGCAACTGGTTGACAACAGTAACAGTCAACCCAGTAAGAAGTGACATAGATTTTTCTTTGATATGTTTGATAGATATAGCCCAAATTGATATTTCTCCCTTAGCTCCCTGCGAAATCCATGTTGATTATATGGATTAATTATGCAACTTGATTGAAGTTTGATGTAATTTCATATTGTTAAACCCCTTTAAATGGATGAGAAAATATTGTTAAACCCCTCAAACATTATTTGAGCTCTACTTTCAATTTAATTTCATATCAGTGAGACAATATAATTTTGTTTGAAAGGTTGGAAAAAGCTAATAACTCTTGGCAAAATGTCTTTATGCAGATCACAGACAAGCAAACATTATCAAATCTATGTGTATGAGTTGCAAAGATACATGTGGAAAATAATAGGTGACCTCTTTATTCTATATATTTCTAACGTTTATTTTTTATTTTTCCAAAATCCATGCTGAGCAATTTATGTTTCTCTTTCTTTAACATTTTTTTTGCTTCGGTTTTGCTCACTTAATAATTTGATTTACACCTACTTTTTAGAATTAGAATAGAATATGGTTATAATTATCTGCAATTGTTGGGTAGTTGGCAAAACTCAAGACCTTTTTATGCCTGTTTGAAGGAACAAACAGAGGTTGTAAACCCCTGCCTTGCTCATACATGTTTTACTCTTTCATTGGCATTTAATTTATTTTCCTGTTTTGGTTTAGGCTTTTAGTTTGGTTTGATTTGTTGTTAACTTTGTTAATCTGGTAAGAATTACATTTTTCTAATGGCTTGGATTTAGGATTTCATTATAATTTCTTCTTTTTCAACATAATGGTTAATCTGGATAGGGAGGTAGTTTGCATTCAGGTGAGGTGGGGCAGACTTTTTTGAGAAAGAACCTCTTGGTGGTGTCCCCTGGAGGACAAAATAGTACTATTTAGTGACCAGGAGCTGAGAGCCCAATTTCATTACAATTTCTTCTTTTTCAACGTAATGGTTATCAAATTAATTGTTTTTCCTTTAAGGGTACTAACAGCAGGCTAGACTCATACCTTTCCATTTTTTTTTCTTCCAAATTCCTTTTCTACATTGAATCTTATTTTCAAATTTGTTTTATATTTTTTCTTGAAATTCACAAGTGCAGTGTTTTCTATTTGTTAAAGGCATAATAGTATATCCATTCAGTTTAATTTCATTTTAACTCGGTGGTGGTTTACACAGTTTTCAGCATTTTCCACATAGGTTCTGATTTTAATTGTTTGCTAAAACCTATAGATTGTTAAAACTAATGACAAGCTATTACTATATATTGTTCATATCAAGGATGGAGACATTTTTGGATTACCCTAAAATATAGCTAGGAAACATCTATTCTTTTTCATTACGGCAGACATTGATGCCCTACAGTGTTGACTTTCTTTAATGCTTCCTCTGGATTCTACAATTTCTTTTTAAAGTTTATTTGGTTGCTGGGAAAAAAACTCAGAAATGAAGGGCTTTAGAGTTTGATCATTTGTGCCTCAAATTTGGTACTGTTTCTTTCCCCTATATAATTTTGATTGGTAATATAGATTTTCATCATAAATTATTGTATTCTTTTGCAAAGTTGTTCATGTTTTACACCTCTTTTAACTTTAACACCATTTCACCTGAGAACTCAACTTCAATTAGAGAAAGAGGAAGAGGAGCATAGAAGTATGTCCACTACTCCTTTGTTTCATTGGTAATATCTCCAAACCCAATTCTCAGTTTTTAGGTTATTTTCACATCAATTAATTTTGCCTGTAATGTTAAGGCATGCTATTCTAAGGAATTTTTCGCACACAATTTTTTTTTTTTTCCGGTCAAATAAATAGATATGGGTCTTCAACAAGTTATTTTTATGTATTATAGTTTATTATTTCACAACTATAATTTTTCAATATTAATGGTAAAGCTTAATTTCGGATTGCATGTATGAAAGTTTAGCCTTTTGTTTACAATTTGAATTGCATGTCTCAAAATTTATAGTATTTTCTTTAATTGCCAACTTAGAGCTTAGAGAAAGAGGTAGCAGCCATCGAAGTAATTCGAGTTCAAATATGAGTTCATATCTGAGTTCAAATCCTATTTTTGAGCCCTTTGTTTCATCGGTAGGTAAAGCTCAAATATTTCGAACATGTTTAATTTTGAATTAGTCTCTACATCTACACGCGTACAATGAACAAATATTCACTGGTCCTTTACAATGACGATTCAATGGTTATGAATTAGTGTAATTCATGGATATAATGCATATATGGACGACGACAACAACAACAACAAAGGATATATTGACAAAGGGATATATTGAAATATGCAGGAAATTGTTTCTCTATAACACATTGTGAGTCGAGGAATCTCTTTCATTTGAGCTGGCCATGTCGAAGTGTATTTTTACTAACTTGGTACGCTATATCACATTCAGAGAACTCTTTTACATGTCCTTTTGTATTGTGTTTGGTAAATATATAATATTTGTTGGAGTATTTTGTATCTAGTTGAGTCATATGAAATTCAAGATTCCAGTTGTTATATCATTTGACGCTTACCATCATCTAATCTTTGGCATATATAATCTGTTTGGTTGCTTAACAAAATCTGTTCGAATAATCTCCATTAAATGACTTCTGTGTTTGTGACCTTTTACTCAAACTTTATATATTTTCTCCTCTCTAATTTGTGTTTTTTGCTTTGTCAGAAGATTATTTTTGTATAAAATATAAATGTTAGAAACATTCTACCCGTTGTTTAGTTTCTTTGACTAATTTTGTAGTGTTAGTTCTGCACCATTTCAATTTGTCTTTGATTGGATAAATAATAGCATTGTTTATGCTAATTTGCCAATTTCTTCATATTTTTAAGTTATCTCGAAGCCAGATTCTGGGCCCTTTATTCAGTGTTTTGAAGACATTACAATTTCTAAACCCCCGCAGCATCGCGCGGGCAACCTTTCTAGTATCAACGATTCTTAAATTCGTTTTTATAAGTAACTTATTATTATTAGATGGGTTTAAATTTTAAAATTTGTATATATATATTTTTAATAAGCGATATTATTTAGGCTAAAGAGAGTGAGCAATAGTATGGTTCACATTCGTTTTTAGCGAGAATCAAATCTAAAAAACTTCTATTTCAAAATACATTTAATAATGTTAAATAGGATGGTGATTATCATCGTCAATTGTAGTTGGTCAGCAAAATAATTACCGGAAAGTTAAACCTCTTTATTTGTTTTGCATAAATAGAGTTTATTACACATTTTCCTCATGAACTCTAGTGTTTGTTCCACTTTGGTTCTCGAAATTTTTTTTTTCCATTGCTTCAAGTATATTTTTCTTTTTAAACATATAAAGTTGTAGTGCACAATAACATTTTTGGATGTCAATAGTATCACCCTTTGCCTAGTAGAGTTTCTCATTGTGTCAAACAGACAATGGTGACGTTAGTTACAAAAGTTGAAAGAACTAGTGACGGGTAGTAGATTTTCTTTTGTTCAAGCGGACACCAATGTCAACTATTTTAAGATTGATTTTTTCACACCAACACCAAACTGCCACAGCTTTTGCTTGTTGGAGATATGTCAACAATATGTGATAAAAATAAATAATAAATGCGAACAACTAATTAACAATGTATGAACAATGAAACAATATTAAACAGAAATATTGAAGATCAAGGCTTGCGTACCGCAATGTCCTTGAAACATAAATTTTGCCCATACTCTGTGCTTGTAGTTTTACGGACATCTACTTCACCAGGATTCAACGATCAATTCAGAATTCCAGCACCGAAAAACTTGACTTGGCGAATTTCTATGTGGTTCTCTCAAATGATGTTTTGGATTGTAGAAGAAGAATTGTATTTTCTATGTTCTAAATGTCATGCAGATGGATGTATATATAGTAGTTGTATGCTTGTTTGAAACATATATGATAATGGGATGTGTCTGTTAGGAGACATCTTTTCCAGAGGGGTGATTTGCTTTGCGTTCTTTCATCACTCTTCAAACTTCACATGAAAGGATGAGTATGTTTATGATAGGAGCATATTTATGCGACTTTGTTAGCCTATTTCCTTGCATTTACTCATTTAGTTTCTATTTATTAGAGTATTTTAAGCCATTTTTGTGTGTTTGTAGGCCCATATGGCAAAGTTGGCAAGAAAAGGTAATTTGGAGCATTTTAAAGCAGTTTTGGGCTTGGAATGGATAACACATGTATGGAGTGAGGTGGATGTGGTGTGATACAAAATAGCACACAAACTTAAACCTTTTTTATGTAGTTGTAGTATGAATAAATAGGGATCGTTATAGGCCAGGGATTAGAAGGGATGCTAATCTACACACTTTAAAACTCTAAAACACTAAACTAGACTCAAAAACAGAAAGCTAGACTCTAATGACTCAAAACAGAAACTAGGGGTGATTTTGGACAAATTCTAACTTAATTTTGACTCAAAACACTAAAAGAAATAGATTTAAATAGGTCCTAGCTAAGTAAACACGAAATATTATAGGGGAATTGGTTTTTGACGAATTTAAAACTTGAAAAAACAAATTACTGAAACTAAATAAAGGGTACAAATTTGGAGGGAATTGATGGGTGATAGATTAGCTAGAGGATTCTTCTCCCTGCATGACACATATGCATACAAATCGATTTCCAGTTATTATTCCTATAAACCATGAATGACAATGCCCTAAGTTAACCGTGAACTGCACAAATTAACCATCAGATTTTCCTAAATGCATTGAAATGGACTCAGCGACGCAATCAAATTATTCTTATCAAGTTCCCTATATGAACTGCATGATGGAAATACATATCAAAGATCATTAAGTTCTATGAAAATCATAAGCATTGACAAGACATTCGTAACTATGAACTGCATGATACTACTGCCATGGATTTACTTAACACAATCATGACTAGTGACTTCCACTACTTATAAATATAAGTTCATAACGATTAGGTGAAATTCTCTTATATTTTAGCATCAAATTCATGCATTCAAACTAAGTATGCATCCTTAATCAACATATAAGCATAAGTTATTAATCAAACAGATAAGTAAATCGCATTCATGTTTTATGAAACAATAACTGGAGGAAATCAATTCTTATCACATATATGTTCATGGCTTCGAATTCACCTCCAGCTAAAAAGAAATTAGTTCCACATGTCCATCATAATTGAAAACCAGATTAAAATAAACATTGGACTAAAACTAAGGATAAAATACACCTAGAAATGCTCCAGCACTCCAATGGCAGATTGCACAATCCTTACTCCTTCTCTCCTTCCTTCCTTGCTGCGGCACAAAGTATATTTTTCTAATTTTTCTCTTTAAGGCTCTCTGGTGTGTGGTGGTAGAATTGTGCAGCACAATGTGGTATTTATAGGGCTAGATGCGGCACAATTTCTGAAGGGAAAAGGATTGCATGGCATAATTTGTAAAGGAGAAGGATAACACAATCCTAGGAGGAAAGGGAATACAATACAAGGTAGATTTCTAGGTTTCTAGAAACGGTGGTGCGGCAGAGATTTTAGGATTGAGGATAGGGCTTTTAGAACCTGATATGTAGATGATTTAATGTGAAAAGGAGTCCCCTTTGAAGCTGGAATTAAGGTAGGATAAGTTTAGGTTAGGATAAGATAAGATAAGGTTGGATAAGATAAGTTAGTTTGGATAATGTTTCCTTTTTCTTAGCTAATTCCTTATCTTCCAAGTCTTGATTTAACTTTTGCAGATGTTAAGCATATTGCTATTCTTTTTTTATCTTCAAAAACGTCCATCCACCTTGCTCCATGCATGTGATATCCATTCCAAGCCCAAAACTGCTCTAAAATGCTCCAAATTACCTTTACTTGCCAACTTTGCCATTTGGACCTACAAACACACAAAAATGGCTTAAAACACTCTAACAAATATAAACTAACTAAGTAAATGCAAAAAAATAAGCTAACAAAGTCACATAAATATGCTCCTATCAAGATGGATGTTTTTGAATATCAAAAAAGGCTAGGAATGTGCTTAACATCTGGAAGAATCAATTCAAGACATTGAAGATAAGGAATCAGCTAAAAGGAAGGAACATTATCCAAACCAACCTTAACCAAATCTTATCCTATCCTAATCTTATCCTACCTTAATTCCAGTTGTAAGGGGGAATCAATTTCACATTAAATCACCTAAATATCTGGTTCTAGAAGCCTTATCCTCTGCCCTAGATTTGTGCTGCACCTTACCTTATCCTTTCCCCTAAGAATCTGCCACAACCACCCTCTCCTTATTCTTCCTGGTTTCTGCCATGTAATTAACCTTTTCTTTGTGGGATTGGAGTGTGTAATCCTTCTCCAACACAACTTTGTTGTGCCCTATCCTTGTCCTCCAAGGATTGGTGCTGTGAACCCTAGTGTGTGTGTATATATATATATATATATATATATATATATACACATTTATGCTGCACAAAACCAGAGAGCCTAAAAGAGAAAATCAGAAAAATACACTTTGTGCTACAACTTTACAAGGAAAAAAGGAGAAGAAGGACTTGTGCCATGACCTGCCATCCAAGGCCATTGGAGTGCTGGAGCATTTCTGGGTTCTTTCTATCCTTAGTTTTAGTTCAATGTTTAAATTAGATTGGTTTTGTTCAATTGCAAACATGTGGAACTAATTTCGTTTTAGCTAGAGGTGAATTCAAAGCCATGGACATATTTGCTCCAGTTATTGTTTTATAAATCATGAATGCGATTTACTTATCTGTTTGATTGATAACTTATTCTTGTGTGTTGATTAAGGATGCATACTTAGTTTGCATGCATGAATCTGATGCTAAAATATAAGAGAATTTCACCTAATAGTTATGAACTTATATTTATAAGTAGTGGAAATCACTAGTCATTATTGTGTTAAGTAAATTCATGGCAGGAGTATCATACAGTTTATAGAATTTAATGATCTTTGATGTGTATCTCTATCATGCAATTCATATAGGGAACTTGATAAGAATAATTTGATTGCGACACTGAGTCCAATTCAATGAAATTAGGAAAATCTGAGAGTTTATTTGTGTAGTTTACAATTAATTTGGGGCATTGTCATTCATGGTTTATAGGAATAATAATTGAAAATCAATTTATATGCATATGAGTCATGTGTGGAGAAGAATCATCTAGCTAGCCTTTCACCCCTTAAGTCACCTTAATTTCGTGCAACCTTTACTTAGTTTTGCAACTTATTAGTTTTAAGTCAATTTTCGTCCAGACAAACTCCCCTTTCATGTTTTGAGTCAATTTAGTTAGATTTTCATCCAAATCACCCCTTAGTGCTTGTTTTGAGTTATTTGAGTCAGTTTAGCTTAATTTTATGTTTTTGAGTCTAATTAGTGTAGATTAGCATCCCTCCTAATTCCCAGCCTAGAACGATCCCTACTTTTATATACTACAACTATCAAAAAGAGGGTTTAATTTGTGTGTTAGTTTCTATCACATCAATTTATAAAATAATAAAAAATTAATTAATTAATTAAAAATAATTAATTATTTCCGAAAATAATGTAATTAAAGTATTTAATTGTTAGAGCCCGAGCCCCAAGACCCATCTATTATATATTAAATATTAATTAATTAGTACACCATAAAGTCCAATCCCAAGGGTGAGCCCAATTTTGTTCTCCAAGGTCCATCACTCAAATCACTTTCTATAAGGGGCAAAACTTTATAAAGTAAGGAAACCTTTTGAGAATGACCAATGTTGGATAATGAAATTTCTACTTAAAATTTGCAACATAATACACACATATAAGACATAAGAAGGTTGGAAGTGGAGTACGAAAAAAAAAAAAACTAGGATTCTGTATTGGTATAGTGGTTCACGGACTACTGTAACACATAAACGATGAATATTGAGACAAGATAGAAACAATATGTGAATCATATTATTGGTCATGTTGCTTTGCGACGATATTCTTATAGTGAAAACTTTTTCTTTTTTTTTTTTTCAATTTTTGTGCCGATTAAATAATAAACCAACTCAAAACTAACTGATTGGTTAGCATAAGTACCTCCTATTGCTAGTGCTGGATGAAAGTGGTAGCGTGTTCGTAGATGGAGGAATATTCTAGCCACCATGTGTTGTTTTTTTGTCAATTTTTGTAGCAAAAATCATTTTTTGTCCTTAATTACAAGATTCTAAAAGACGTTAGGCACTAGTCGAGCA